GAACCGAGCTGTGAAAAGATCACCAGTCAATGGTTCGAGATATCTTGTGATGGAAGGTGATTCATAGCCAACATAGATTCCCAACCTTCTCTGTGGGCCCATTTTAGTACGTTGGGGCGGTGCTATGGGAACATAGACTGCACATCCGAATGTTTTTAGATGTGCCAAGCTAGGTTCCTTTCCAACTACTAGTTGCATTGGAGATAACTTATGTGTCGCGCTTGGTCTTAGTCGTAGTTGAGCAGCGGCATGTATTATTGCATGTCCCCATGCAGAAGATGGGAGTCTTGATTTCATGAGTAATGGCCTAGCGACTAATTGTAATCGTTTTATTAATGATTCTGCAAGGCCATTTTGTGTATGAACATGGGCTACTGGGTGTTCCACGTCTATCCCAATTGACATACAATAGTCATTAAATGTTCGGGATGTAAATTCTCCGGCATTATCTAGCCTAATCCTTTTGATCGGATAATCCAGGAATTGAGCCCTTAAACGTGTGATTTGTGCAAGAAGTTTTGCAAATGCAACATTCCTGGTGGAGAGAAGACTAACATGTGACCAACGTGTTGAGGCATCAATTAACACGAGGAAATATCTGAACGGTCCACATGTCGGGTGTATTGGCCCGCAAATGTCTCCTTGTATTCTTTCTAGGAATGCAAGATTTTCACCTTCAAGTTTACCTGGCATTTTGAAGGTCTAATGATCAGTTTTCCAAGTGAACAAGCTTTACAATGAAGTTCATTTGATTGTGGGATCCGTATATTATTTAACGGATGTCCATTTGAACTTTTAATGATTTTTATCATCATGCTTGTTCCAAGATGACCTAAGCGGTCATGCCATATATTAAACATTTCCTGGTTGTCTACCTTGTGGTTAGACACCAAATATGTTTCAATTGGGCAGATATAAGTAAAGTGCAATTTTGAGGAGTATGCTTCTAATTTTTCAAGAGTCTCGTTATTGCCAGATTTTCTTTTAACGAGGTACATATACTCCTTTTTTATTTTCATTAACGGTTTCCATGTGATAACCATTCAGACATAAATCTTTGAAGCTCAATAGATTACGTCGTGTTTTGCTAGAATATAATGCGTTTTTTATTGTTACTTTTGTACCTTTATTTTGGTAATATTACGCAAGCTTTTCCTGAGCCCTCAACCATATTGACAGTGCTGACAATTGTGTTGAGATTAGTACTTATTGGCTTGATATGAGTAAAGTATGACTTGTTGCTCAAAATGTTGTGTGTGGTTGCGCTATCAATCAGGCATTTTTCAGCATTTGTGTTGTTATTTTCCATTGTCTTCACATGAATAAAGAAAGGATTAGTAACTATCATCTATAAAAACACGTATGAGAAAAATACATCTTTATTATATCATATTTTACAATATTAAAACACACTTAATAATAGGAAAACATGCTTAAAGAAAACTTAGGATTCTGGATGAAAAGGGGAAAAAAAAAATACAACAGACAGACAACTCGGAAAATATATGACAATGTCGATGAAGCAAACACCACAGGAAAAGCACATGATCGATGTAGTCTAGACATTTTCTATGTCATCAACAAGATAATCAGCTACATCGAGTTCTGGGTTAGGGGAAATTTGTGTGACAAAATTAGTTTATGCTTGTTTCTCTTGGCTTCCTCTCGAGGCAACATATAGGTCCACAAGGTGTTTTGTCGTACGACAATCCTTAGCCCAATGACCTTGTATTCCGCATTTAAAACACTTTTCTTGTGGCCTTCCTTGGTTTTGAAAATTTCCCCTTCATCTACCGCCTCTACCTCTACCTCTCAGGGTGGGAGTATTGGAAGTATTTTGACGCCAATTTTGACGTCCTCTACCCCTTCCTCTGCCCCTATTGGGGTATTGACTTCTGCCCTGAAAACCTCCTCGTACAATATTGTTATTCCAACGCTTGCCTGTTTTTGTGGCATTTGTTTCTGGTATTGCACTGGTCCCTGTTGGTCTCTGATTATGATTAGACAGCAGGATTTGACTGTTTTGTTCTGCGACTAATAGTATAGAAATTAAGTCACAAAACCTTTCACAACGCCTCTCTCAATACTGTTCTTGCTGTACCATATTATTTGCGTGCATTGTAGTGAGAGTTTTCTCGATCATGGCTCTTTCACAGATTGGTTCTTCACATAATATCAATTGTGAAGTTATGCGGAGTACAACAGAGTTATATTCACGTATTTAGCTGAAATCTTGAAGTCTCAAGGTAGACCATTCATGCTAGGCCCTTGGCCCAATTATTCTCTGTAAGTGTTCGAATCTGTCTTGGAGGCAAACCCAAAGTTCTCTGGGATCCTCAATGAGAATATACTCGGTTTTTAATTCGTCATGAATGTGGTGTTTGATATACACCAAAGCTTTAGCTTGTTTTAGAGGAGTAAGGTTTCCCTCTTCGGCAATAGCGTGTTCTAGGCTTTGTGCCCTTAGGTAGGCTTTTGCGTCCACCCTCCATTTCAGGTATCTTCCTCCGGAAATGTCTAAAATTTCAAAGTCTCTGTTTGCAATTCGAGCCATTTCCGATGACACGAAAATTTTTAGAAATTAGTAAAAGGGAAGTCAAATATTTTTGTATATATAATTTTTTAAAGATTAGAAAATATCACTATGGAATGCAAGTCGTGGTGGTCCGAGTACCCAACTTACAAATAAGAGGTTGGGGGTTCGAAACTTGGTAAAAGCATAAACCCCGCAAAATTAATAAAGGTTGCATATTTTTATTTATTTTTAATTATTATTAAAACTTTAATTATTTAATATTGTGGGATTATTAATTGATAAAACAAAGTTTGAATTGTGTACTGTTTGGGAGTTACAACACAATGGGCATTATATAATCGTTGTAAGCTAACACAAAACCAGAATATAATTGCATGTTGTAGCTGACAACACATTACAACAACAAAGAAAAAACAATACTTTTAATCAATAAACACATTACAACAAAAAAAAAAAAAAAAAAAAAAAGGCAATGCATGGTGTTAAACAAGTAACCAACGCATGCAACACTTCCAAGAAATGCATGCACATGCATACATACTTTCAAGACAATTGTATAAATGCATGTATTTATGCCAGACAAATTTTTATTTGTAATATATATCCGATTAGGGGATATGCGGTTGAAATACATGTAATACATGTATTTGTAACAGTTTTATTTCCTCTCTTCATGCATTCTTATCCTTTCTCTTCATTCATACTCATTCTTACTCTCTTCCTTCCTTTTTAAAGAAATAATTCATACAAAAATAATTAGGAGAAGAAAATTGCTTATAGTCAAAAATAAATTTGCTTCATGAAATAATAGGCAAAATTAAATTCATGTAATAAACGGAAAATTTGTCTTCGTACTTCCGGCCATAAGTTGCCTACCATTTTAGGTGGCCTTGTTCTCAAAATAAAACATAAACCGACCATCAAGGCGGCATTTTGAGAGTTTGGCCCGTCCATATAGGCGGCTTTAAATGCAAATCTTGCCCTCCATAAAGATGGCTAATTTGCTTAAAGTGGCCTATTGGTCGCTTTGGCGACGTTTACTACGAGTAGTAGCAGTTGTGGCGGTATCGGTTTCATCTCTTCCTCTCTTATTAGTATCTGGAGGAGGGGGTTCGGTTTCGGTTGGTGGTACTGGGGGATTTTCATTGAGGTTAGGGACAACTTGTGGAATTTCGACGGCTTCGGCGACATTAGTGTTTCGGGCTTGATTTGTACTTCCTCGGGCTGGTTGTATTGTACCACAAGGTATGACATTACGCTCTACTACGAAATATATATGTGAAAGTGATATATTATTCAAAAATGTATTGACGCCATTATATTGGTGTTCCATTTTTGAGTAATGAATAATTTGATAGTTAAATTCAACAAACTCCACTAACCAATTGATCATACCAATCAAAACCCCTAATTTATCACAAAATCATGAATTCAACCCAAACTATTCAACAAATTGGACAAAATCATACCATTTTTCGCCAATTCTGCAAGCCACCACAAATCATAATTTAAAAAATCATTTTTTTTTTCAAAATCAAACCACCAGCAACACTACCCAAATAATTAAAAAAAAATCCCCACCCTAACCCTAAACCCGCCTAAGCCTACACTCTACAGCCACCACAAACCCAGCCTAGGTCACGCACCAGCACTACACGCACCACCACCAGCACCATCACACACGCACAGCCACACCCACCACACGCACCACTAGCACCATCACTACCCAAAAAATTTTAAAAAAAAATTTCCTCAGCGTACTTTATGAAATCTTCAACGTTTGGTTTATATGGTTAAATTCGACCATGAAAACCCTAGATCTGGAGTTTTCATGGTCGAATTCGACCTAAAAATCCATTAATTGATAGTGGTCGAATCCGATCAAAAGCCATGGGGGTGGGTGGCGCTGGACTTCAAAAACCAAGGAGAGAGAATGAGAAGGGATGAGGGAGGCGGAGATGATGAGAGAGACCGAAGGGAGGAGGGAGGCGGAGATCAGAGAGAAAGAAACTGAGGAGATGGAGAGGAGAGAGAATGAGATTCATTTTTTTAATAAATTCTTAAGGGAAAAAAAAGAAAAAAAAAATAAGTCATGGTCCCTAAACTCTTGCTTAGTCATCAAAGTCCCTCAACTTTTGGCTGACAAACACCAAAGAAGGTGGCTGAGGGACTAAAAAGGCACAAAATAGTTTAGAGGAACTAAAACGGCACAAATACGATAGTTTAGGGACCGTATTTAGTCTTTACTTATTTCTCACATTTAGTAGACCCAACATAATACTCTCTCTCCTCCTATTCTTCCACTACTTGTGTTTTTTATAATTTTTTATCCTCTCCACTACCCAACTACCTCCATATTTTATTATTTTCTACAATTTCTCCTAAAATTTTGTGCATGGAAAAATGAAGCAAGTATTTAAAAACGGATGGAGTATTTCTTTGCAAATAATATATTGTTGTGACATACTGCATTAATGCAATTACATTCTAATTTCTATTTAAAGTTGGAGAAATAAATGATAAAAAAGTACATGAACTTGCTAGAAATCTTTACAAGTATATGAACACGTGAAAATTTAGTGATCAATTAAACCATTTTACATTAATTAGCTTAGGTAAAACTAACATCATAAGCCTTCATACCATTAAGCTCAAAAACTCCAAAATGCTTCTCATATTCTTGTCCATCTTTCTCATTTTCATCAAACATATCAAACAAAAATACCTCCACTCCAACACCCGGCCTCATAGGAGTCCCAACATCTCCTCTAGCACGTCTAACAACATTTCCATTGTACATCCTAGCATTATCCGGGCTCGCGTCCTCGCCCCCACCCGTAGGCCACCCTGTCTCCGTCACCACGATTCGTACCCCAGGGAACCCCTCCCTCTCCATCGCTGCCACGAACGAGTCCAACGTGGCATCGAACAAGTTGTTATAGTACAACTCATTATCCAACATGTACCCTTGGGAGTTAAATAGGGCATAGTCTAGACCAATATCTTTTTTGTTATTAATGTAACTAAAAAAAGGGTATATATTTACCATAAAGGGTGAATCATTTTGTTGTAAAAATTGTAACAAAGGGATCATTTGTTGCATAATTTCATTATTAAAACTCCCATTAGATGGAGGAAAAGACGTCCCAAGAACACACGCCGCATGTGGGGTAGACAGTTTGATCATTTGATCTAAATTAAGGGTTTTTAAGGCTTGGTGAAGGTTCCAAATAGAAGGAACAACAAATGGTGTGTAATATGGATCTTTAAAAAAAACCTCATTTCCAACTGCTAAGTATTTGATATGGGTAGGTGGGAAATAGTCTAAAATGTTGGATTGAAGCCATTGTAAAGAAAATGTAACAGGGTTATTGGCTAAGGAAGGTAGTATTTCATTAGGGACACCTATCATTAGGTTGATCCCTGAGTCTGAGAATGATTGCAACACTTCTGGTGATGGTTTGAAGATTCGAACCGTTGGTATCGCGTTCGATTGGAGGAGGGAGACTATTGAGGATGGTGGTGGATGGTTGTCTGCTATATTTCCATAGCATATTCCAACTGGTGCAGCTGCAAGAACAGAGGAAATTTTATGATCAAAGAAATTTTACAAGTAAAAAAACTATAGAGGAATGTATCATTAGTATAAGTGTTAATTAGAATTATATTATATGCTTGTTATATGGCAGTATGGACGTATGGTACTACAAAATTTTATTAAATTAAGCTATTATATGACTCCTTCCCTCGGGAATTAGTAGTCACGTTGCTGGTTCAATTACGCTATCAACCCAACAACATGACTATAATTCCAAAAGGAGGAAGTAATATTGTGCAACCGACTACCAAATGAGTTGTATGTGTTCACCGTGAATTTTGTTAATTATTAAGTATACAAAGTACAATTAAACCTACCACTTGAAGGTGAGAAAAGGAATAGGAAGAAAAGAAGTGATTTTAGTGAAGCTATAGAATAGTGGGATTTCATATTGATATTTGGAAAATTGAGATAATGGATAAAAAGAGGAGAACTTTAAAGATGGGAGATTAAAGAAAATTAGGGTAAAATTAGTTTATAAGTTTGGAAGAGGGTTTATTTTAGGTTAATAGTTTGGTATGAACAGGTCAATTTTTTTTAAAAAAAATGGATCATGAATGATTAACTTTTTTACCTAGGGATCTGTTGTGATTTTCACTTTCATACAAACCAATGAAGAATTTTCTTTTTATTAAAAAAATTGATAATTAGATTTTATTTTTAATTCTAATTATTATAAGGTGAGCCTCTTTTCATCAACCTATGAGAGAAATAACTTTTGCATTGATGCATGGTAATGGGTCGGTCAAATAAAGATTTTTGAACAAAAAAAAATGTACCTAATACTTTCTCTTATTTTTATGAGGATCACCTACCAAGGTTAGCTATATGGTCTTTTTAGGTCTAAGTAGATTAGTGCATGTAAGTGGTGTGTTACTTTATAACTAGGAAACAAAAACACTTTGAACTTAACTTGTTGGCTTCTCTAGTATAAGTAAGTATCAAGGTTAATAACCAATGTTAGGATCTTAATACAAGCAATTATGGATTGAGGTCAAGTCATGTCGAATTATCGGGTATTACACTGTCGTGACACAATTTGAGAATGGATGCTAGTGCAAATGTAAATTACTAGTACGACGTGTGTATAGTGTACCACATATGTCGTCGATGCGTGGGGTGCACCATGTGATGTTACGCAGTACACATCTCCGTGCACTATTTGAGTACTATATGTAAGCTTTAGACGCGCAAATTTATAATTAGAGAGGAAAAGAAAAGGCAGATTCTATGTAGTTTTGAAGCCTGTGGGGTTTATTACTTGGGACCAAATAAATCTTATTACTGTGTAACTTGGACCAAAATTGACGATCAAACATAGCATGTAATGTGGACCAATATTTCGGAGGGCCGGCAAGCAACTGAAGCAATGAGCTAGACTTGCATTGCCTGACCTTTCAGAGTAGTCCTCATATGTCCTCATGTTCTGGCTTCCTGCTATATGGTAGTTTGGTAGAGATCGGAGTTGTATGAACTGTAAACGAGGTACTCTCTCTATTCCCTTTTGCCTCATTTGAAATATTCAATTTCAAAAGCGAAATAATTTAATTCAGAAGAACCTTTGATAAAAAAAATAGTAGCGGATTTAGAAAGAAAAAAAAATTTAGTTATTATGGTCTGATAAATTTGATTTAGTAGGGTTAAAATAAACTAAAAATGTCAAAAATTCAAAATTATAACAAAATTCACAAAATCTTCATATACAAGTGGGATTAATTGACCTCACAATTGGCAATGTAGCTCCGCCACCAATGCTGAAGGAAGCCTCACTTTATGCGAACCTAATGATTAAAGTCACAAAACTTGAATGAATACTATCTAACATAATTTAGAGAATAGTATATAACAGAACTTAAACCTGAATCATATCTCCCTATTAGAAGGTGGTTTTTTTTATCAGCCAAAAGTATCCTTTCAATCAAATAATAAGAATGAATAAATCAAGTTGGAACAATATAAATAAGACCAAGTGGAATATGTTGCAAGTTCACCTAAACTCGGTTATTATATAAAAGTAATATCTATATCTAAGTACATCTTAAATTATAATTATTAGCAAAATTAAGGTTCAATACAGTATGTTCGATCTAGTTTTTGAAAGGCCAATAATTTTCAGGAATTACAAGGTATACATTCGATTTGCCTAGTTACTTTATAATATGGATGCTTACTTTATTCAAGCAAACAATGTAACAGAATACTGAATTATATTGCTTTTGTATATGTGACTTTTGGCATGCTGGACCAGAACTATAGTATGTCCAAGTAACTTCCAGGATTGTGTTTGGTGCCTACATCTTTCCAACCATAAACACGTCAAAATCTTCTATATATGCAGACATGTATAGGAGGAGAATCCAATTACATACAAATTTCCGACTATTGTAGTGTTTCATTGTAAAAAGGTACGTAGTTGAGTCATTTACGTTTGATTTTAACATGTAACACATTGATTTGATAATGGCGATATTAAGCAATCCTGATTTAATCCTTACTTCGAATTGGATTTTTTTATTTGAAAGCATATTCAAAATCCTATAATAATTTTTATAAGAAAGTGCATCGTGTGATTTAATACAACAGATCTTGTATTTAGTCATGTGTGAAATGCATTACTATTCAGCTTGAGTGATTTAAATTCAAGTTAGTACAATATCTTACACTACGTCAAAATATAAATAGAATGAGAAACTTAAAACAAGACAATGGTAATAAGTCAAGCCATCTAATACAACCGGCTAACAATTAACTCGCAAATTGCCATATAATCTATAGAGCCTAGCATGCAATTGCTAGTTTGCTAGTATCTAAAAATGTTACCTTACAAGTTTCTATGCCTTGAGGATAGAGCGAGCAGCCTGGATTCTTTCCTCATTATTGGAGGCAGTGATAGTAATAATGATTAAGCGATCAAAAATCCTAATTAACAAGTAATCATATCATAAAATTTAAGACAGATAAAATCAAATGAAAAAGGCCTACCACATTCTGTCAGAATCATTCTCTAGAAAAATAAAAGCAAAGAATAAAGATAAGAATTGATTATATTGTTCGGCGTGTTAAGTGTTCCCTTTTAGTAGGCAAAAGCAAATCTCTCAAAAGAATATTGTAATTTGTCACTGCCTCTAATTACTCCAATTTTTGTAATTTCCTTTTTTACTCAATTAAGTATGTATAATCTATCTCTTTTTTGCCAATTATCTTCTTTTTGTTCAAATGAAAATTTGTGTGAATGTGTATATCAGTATATAGCCGTTAACGTCATGCATTAAACTTTAGTTCACACCACGCCAATTATTTTGACTTGCAACAAAATTAATTTGTTCTTTTAACATGATTTGATACCTTAATTGTCATTTTGTGTACAAGGAATGGAGTAGCCTAGTAATTAAGGACAATAAGAATGAAGTCACATCACCCAAGAGCTGAACTAGTCTCCTTTCGATCTAAAACAACAATTGGGGAAGGGAAGGTACGTAGAGAGCTACTTACGCGGTCTTGGGTTGAATCCTTGAGAGAAAGGGTAACTAAGGTTGATAATGTACTTCAATGCAAGACGTTAGTCAAACCATCAGGTGTTACTTTTCATAATTTACCCCGTGAAATTTTAAACATAATATTAACGGTTTGACATTGGTTAGCTACATTGTATACGTGTGATAATCCTTAAAAAAAATTTTGATTTTATAATCGATCCACTATAGTCATGGTCTTTATAATATCTCCAGCTAAGAGCTAGAGACTAGGACATCATACATAAACATGAAAATCATGGACCCCTTAAGAAGCACTAATTCTAAAAAGCAAAAGTTAATGATCAATATGAACTTAAACAAACACTTTCTTGGGGACACACTTGAGAATGTGGCCATGGAAGGATAAAAATTATTGCTTTCTCTTCCTAAAAAGCAGAAAAATCAGGAAAACTTGCTTAAGTATTCCTTCTATTCCGTAGTAAGGAATAATCTTTACTTAGCTTAGCTTCCCTTTTTTTTTTTTCTTTATTAAAGAAAAAAAGAAAAAGCAAATCATCTTAATAAGCTCCTCCTCTTTTTGAATTCAAAAAAATAAAAACCCTCTTATCATATCCACTTCTACAATATAAACCATAGCTTGTAAGAGACTATGCTTCTTGCTTTTGCTTAGCTTAGCTTCTCCTACATTACTTCTCTTCTCCCTTTAAAACATCCATCCGATCCTAAAACTCGGTCTCTTTCGACATAAACTCGAAAACAAAATATCAATCACTCAAAAATGTCTGCTTCATTTCAAACACTTCCAAACCCCGGACCACCCCAACAAGGCTCATTTCAAGCCGGGGTGGTCTACCCAACACCAACTACTACAACCTCTTCAATGGGAAGCAATGATCAAAACACGAGCCCGGATGATCATTCGAGTGGTTCCTTTGGGATGGTCTTTGTAGTCCTTGCTATCATTCTTGTAGTCTCAGCTGTTGCTTGTGTTTTAGGCCGGTTTTGTGGTAAGAAATCTGACAAGTCATCTAAAACCCATCACTCTAAAGGTCATAAGGGGTCAAAGAAAGGTCATGGAAATAGTAGCCACAACATTAACCATGATCATATGATGATGAACCACCATCAAGGTGGTAATAATAATCACAAGGGCAGTGGCAAATCTAGCATTAATAATAGCAAGCAACACGGTGGAGGGAGGCCTAAGGACCGAGACCTTGAGTTTGGATACCGGTCTAAGGAAGGGGATATCATGATGGGATTTGACCCTAAGGCAAGGTCTATTCCTAGTGCTAAAGTTGCTAATAACAATGGAGACTTTCGAGTCGATAGCATGGGAAGAGGTATGGAGTCTCATCACCATGGAAACCCTAGAGACTTTCGGGTTGATAGCATGGGAAGAGGTATGGAATCTCATCACCAACATGGAAACCCTAGAGATTTTCGAGTTGATAGCATGGGAAGAGGTATGGAGCATCATCACCATGGAAACCCTAGAGATTATCCTTAAATTTGCTAACTTAATTATCTTGTTATATATTGAAGATCTCCTTCATAAAAAAAAAACTTAATTATTTAATTATCTTTGCTTCTTTTTTTTTTTAAATAGGTAGATTATGGTATGGTGGTTGAGGAGTGAAAATGTGTAATGGTATATTTTTCTATATATGACAAAGATTGTCATCTAAATTAAGTGACAGTGTATAATTAATCCGGGTTTGGAAGCAAAATTGCAAGGTCATTAACTAGTTATGTCAAATTTAGTAATTTACTAATACTAATGTGTAGTATGGACATGCTAGAAAATGTAGATCTTCAATAATCTAATTATATATTTTGTACGGATGAAATTGAATATAGTTGTCATGTTTCTAATTTAAATAGAAATATCAATGCAATTATTGATTTTGGGCGTTTGGAACGTATATTACTTCGCATGTACATCATCTTAGATTTAGCTCTTCATTTTGCTTTTGTGTAGCAAATTTTACAATTAGATAATGAGCAATCTACTTAAACAAGTTAAGAAATTATGGTCTTATCTGTATTTACTATACTCATTTTTGCCTTTTGTTCTGAAAATCAATGTTATTTACCTTCGGAATTGAAAGAGTACATACGTGTCTTAACTACCAATTCAATAACCAAACATTTTATTGTCACAACTCACAAGTACAGAGTGATGTACGCCATAGTACTTCTTAATTTCATCTTGGTTAAAAAGGAAAAGAAAGTGATGAAGCCACTTGTTTAAATTGGGTTTTCATTGGATAAAACAAAAAAAATTGGTTTAATTTCTACTTGTACAATTTAATAATGAAGATAAATAGAAATAAATGGTAGGATATTTTCTTTTTATAATTTACATTCTATTTTATTTATTTTTTGCACAAATTTTTTTTTTTTTTTTTTTTTTGAGACGCATTTTTTACACTAATTTACATTCTACTATTTAATTACATATTGTTTTAATCCGTGTGTATATGTTAATAATAATCGGTTTGGTCCAAAAAAATGGACCGGACCACCCCAAGGCGGACGACCGGACCGATTTAATCGGTCCAGTCTTCGATTCTTGAATTTTAAATTTTCCGGTATTCGGTCCGGTCTGTTCCAAAACCCTATAAAAACCGGTATTTGACCGGGCTAATTTTTTATTAAAAATATATGTGAAACCTTAAATAATGGTTAAGATTATTGTTTAATAAGCTTAGAAATTTTATAAGCTCTTTTGCACTAAGCATACAAAAGAAGACGTTAAAATATAGTTTTTCCTTTACTTTTTTCGTGTTTTCCATAACTTTATTAAAAATTAGTTTTAAAAAAAAAAAAAAAAAAAAAAAAAAAAAAAAAAAAATCTTAAATCAGTCCAAAGTTGTCCGATCCGGGTTTTGGACCGATTCTTTCAATCCGGTCCGCCAGGTTCGGTCTCAATTTAATCGGTTCGATCTTTGGTTTTTAAAATTCTAATTTTCAGTTTTCGGTTCGGTCATAAACCGATGAACAATCCTAACTGCAATTACTTAATATCGTCCACATTTAATATATTTGTTTTTGCTTGTATTCCCTCTTTATGCTCTCTTACACATATTCTTCATCAACCACCACCACCCCAGCCACCAAAACCACCATGAATAGATTAATTCTTGAATGATTGGATAATTTTATAAGGACTTAAATTCCAAAGGAGCGACAATTGCTTTTGATTAATGTGGGGCTAGAAACTTTAACATTCCACCAATTTCTCCCGGCTTTACTCAATTGGGCTTTTATCATTAAGGTGTTGGATGTAGCTTAGCCAGCAATTATTACATGGCCAATTTAGTGATCCCAGCTAATACAAGATTCTATCAATAGAATATGTGCCACTTTTCCTATATTTGAAGATTATAATACTTAAGTACACTAGTTTGTTAAGAGGTTATTTTATATCGTTTCATCTCATAATACAGTTCGTAATTTTATTTACACGGTCTTTACAGCGTTCCTTAGACCATTAATGTTTTTATTTGCAACTAAAATTAAACTCGTAACAAATAGACATTATAGAGCGCTTTGTATTGAGATGAATCTAACACTATCTCTCGCATAATCATAATCATATATTTCATATACGTAGTACATGTAATACATCAATGAGAATTATTAGTCAAGGTTTTGCTAGTCCTTTGCAAATTTGCAATTAGTTGCTTAATTTAGGCCCATTATTAATGAAAGGCCAGAAATGGGAAAGTTTGTAAGCACAAAAGAAGAAAGAAGACAGCTAGATATTCTCTCTCAGACTATTAAGATGTACTGTGATACTCAATCTTCCAACCCCATGATGTAATATTTCATGCCAAATTTACAGAAAACTTGTCAGTTTCACTCTCTTTTTCAAATTAAGGACTACGATTTTTTAAGTACAAAAATTGTTACCAAATTAACCAATCAAAATTGCAGCACACTAATTTGGTATTTCAGTTGGTTTAATTCCAACCTGTATTAATGTGTTTTAGCCATAACATGTATGAATTTGACCCGATATAGACCCGAACTAAATCTAACATGGCTAATTCGTTTGGTGGTTCTTGAACTAGACTACAAGTCTACAACACGTAAATTACGACTAATTTTGTGGTCACCAATTAAATCAAACATGGTGTTTAAATGGCAACAATTGTTGATTATTACAAGTTTTTTTCTCACGTTTGAGCACAAAGCCACTTATTTTAGCAAAGCCCAACATGACATGAGCACGACTCATTGTCAAGATTGGGCCATACTCCTATAGTTTATTACTTGTATTTTTTAATTTTACACATTTTAAATTTAATGAAACATTGAAACCTATATTTTGTTATTTATTTATTTGTTACTCCGTATTATCGTTTCTTTGTTACTTCGTATATGCTAACACAAATCATCAAGAAATATCACAAAATTTTAAGAAACTGATACAATTTTGAAACAAGTGGTTTACTTCATAAAGTTATAAATATATCTAGCTACACAAAAATGAAATTAAATTAAAAAAAAAAAAAAAAAAAAACTAAACAATTCCAATCTTGTTTAGCCCTATTCTAAGATCCTATCCTAATTCCTAAACCTAGTTTTATTCAAGTCTATACCAATATTAATCACCCATAATCCACCATTAATATCAAAATTTACCCCTTCCATTAACCGTAACACTCCACCAAAATTAGCATAAAAAAAAAAAAAAAAAATTCCGAAAATAGCCATATCCAAAAGATTCCAGACTCCCTTCTTCCTTGTCTTGTAACAGTGTACTACCACAACAGTGGTCCATATAACGCGCCATTTTCAGGCGCGTAAATCTCACGCTTCTCCCGCATGCTACGAGCTACAATCCTCTGCATCACACCTCACAGTAATTACAGTAGACCACCCTTCTCTAATTGCCACCTGTCATCATATCATCATCATGAAATTTCTCTCTCTTCTTTCTCACTCTAGATCGTTACCAGTAGCTTTCCCGCTTTTTTGAACTGTTCTTTAGGCCGTTAAACCTTCTCTTTCTGTTAGTCAAGAGAGAGGAGAGAGAAAGTGTCAGCTGTTTCTGACACAGCAATGATTTTGTACAGATTTTTTGAACTTGGGTATATAAATTTGGGTGGTTAATTTTTCTGGGGTGAGAGAAATTTTTGGTTTTTACTTGGAGTAGAAGGTTTTTAGTAGAGAGCTAAGAGTTGCATACCAAGTGTTTGATGAAATGTGTCACTTAGAAACTGCATTAGAGTGGTTAAGACCTTTGGTTTTTGATTCAGGAATTTGGGATTATTGTGTTCTTTGGAAGCTTGGTGATGATCCTTCTAGGTACCCTTTTACATAATTTACTCAATTTTGCTTTAAATTATGCAGATTTAAGTGTTAAATTTAATGGGGATTTTTTTGTTTGGTTTGAAAATTTGATGTAAAATCTGTGTTTTTTGGTAGGTTTATTGAGTTTCTAGGTTGCTGCTGCAATGGTGGTGGGAGACAGGAGATGGGTTTGAGAAAGAGGAAAAGAGAGAAGAACAATTCAATGCAATTTTGTAAAGATGTTAATTATGTTCATCTGGCTAATACAAATTCATGTCAAGTTCTTGCTAATTTGCCTCCATTTATGTCTATTTATTCTGGGTATTTCTTCTTCTCTTGTTTTGTTTTAATGTTATGAATGTTAAGAGTGATTATGTTAATAAGTTGGACTGGAGTTGCCATGATTAATGATTTAATTTAGTGAGGGATTGAATTGCAGGCTTCATGGAGAAGTTGTGCTTTCCTGTCAACCCCGGTGGCTTACTAGTAAGAAATCGGATTTGAAGATGTCAACCGAGGTCGGTTTCAATTCCTTCCTGTGTTTAGTTTAATTGTATGCTGTTTGATCTTTGAAGAGTAACAGGTTTAACTATGTAGTTTAGTAGCTCAATTCTTATTCTTGCTTATTTCTTAAGAGTGACTATTGGATGTAATATTTGCTTGGATTTAGTTTTTTTGGATGATATGCTAGTATTGCCTTTATTTGATAACATGTTGATTATGGAGTATAAGATTACTTGTGTATATAAGTTGTTGGTGTTCTAAGCTATTGTGACTTGTGAGATTACCACCGAGGTTTCTTTGATTTGAAATTGAAATTATGTTTCATCTCTTAGAAGAATTAACAGCTTGAATTTAATATGATATTCTTACTTTCTTATTATTGCCTATAATTTGTCTCATGTAAAATAGGCAGAAACATGGTGTTGTCTATGAGATTTCCTGTGTTTATGAAACATGTTTCTGTATTTTCATTTATGTTAATGTATCCAATAACAAAGAGTTAGTTGTAATCCCTTTTATCACAAGGAAATTTATCTTTCCTAATCAGAGTTATACCAGAATTGATTCGAACAAATTAAACTTATGCCTTTCTTTTACCAGGAATCCTGTGGAACTCATGTTTTGATACCTATGTTCGGTGGGCTGGTAGAGCTATATTCATCAAAGCATGTAAGAGTCCATTTTAACTTTTCAATAGATATGAACTAATGCTAGGTGTATACTAATTCTGCGTTTTTTCAAATGATTTTATGAATTGTTAGGTAGAAGAGGATGAAAGTGTAATAGAATATGTGAAGAGTCAGTTCAACATCTATTCAGAGCTAGAAACTATGTCGACTTCTACTATAAGCTTTGATGGGCAGTTCATTGATCCATTTTTGGATATAAAATCAAATAGTGGTCTATCATCTCTAAATCAACCCAACATCCCAGCTTGGCCTCAACCCAGCATGCTCCCATCAGTAGCCCAACGCTACAGCAATTCTACCTTAGATGGATCCTCTACTGGTTCATTCCCTTCAGATGAGCGCCCTTCTCCTGATTCCAACCCTTGTTCCGTGTCTCAAGATATACCGTCCAAGCCACTTATGGTCTGTCACAAAGATCCTGCCATCGTACAGGAGAAACATGGCCTAGAGAGAGGAACTGGAAAATCAAAAAATCTTTTAACTGAGAGGAATAGGAGACAGAGGATTAATGATGGCATTCTTTCCCTTCGTGCTCTGGTCCCAAAGATCACCAAGGTAAATACCGCTTTACTTGATTTTTGTTATGATGACGATATTAATCTATGTTGCTGATATTTTGGCACGGTTGCCCTCCTTCATAAATACATATTTCTGTCTCTTACGGTATTTTCTGATGAATTAGATGCACAAAGCCGCTACTCTGTCAGATGCAATTGATTACATAGAAGAGCTAAATAATGAGATCAAGGAGCTCCAGGATGAGCTGAAAAGTTTGATTGAAGAAGACTCTGATGAAAAACATACATTGAAGCTGAAAGCCGATTTGGGAGAAAAGGTTAGCAAGCCTAAACAAGCTTCCTCTGTCGCTGAAAGAATAAAGGTATACTAGAATTACAGAAATTCCTTTTAAGGCTTGACTGTGTTTATGTGCATAATTTATTTAGAATGTAATTTTGTTTGGTTATAATAATATGCATATTGGATCATTGCCATTGGCTAGGCTAATGTACAAGCGAACCAGCTTGGTAATGGGAGCTTCTTGCTGAGAATCATATGCCAGCAGAAACCCGGTGTGTATACAAAGTTGCTGGAAGCTTTAAGTGCTTTGGGTTTGCCAATAAAAGATGCCAATCTCACAACGTGTGATGGCCAAGTATCAACCAATTTTACAGTTCAGGTAACAGCAAATTCTGTAACTGAAGCATGAGTGTATTCTTCATGCATCATCTCTGATCAAAGATAATTTTTTTTATTTTTTTTGAAACCATCTGATCATAGATGATTTAGTAGGTATTACCCAATAACTGTAGCCTTGATGTTGCGTTTTTTGTAGTCAAACAAAAAAGAGATTCGTGAGGAGGACTTGAGAGACTCATTATCAAGGCTGACGGCTTAAAATTCGATCTCCTCAAGTCACAAGAAGATTAACAGCATTAATACAATCAGCCAAGTTTGCTCCTTGTGACTTGATAGATGTCATTTAACTTAGGTACTCAGTAGGCAGCTAGCCTTAAGTTTGTAGAAGGAGCTTCAGTTAACTAGCCTAAGCACTGTATATATTGGCTGTCATTTGTTCACTACCTACTAGTCCATGGTACAATTGTTAGTTTGTTAGTTACTCCTTACCAAAGTTTTGGTTGTGCTCAATTCTTTTACTACGTAATTTTTTTGGGGTTTCATGAAATCCTTGGACTGCCCTCTTTCAATCGCTACACCCAACACCGGACAACATACACTCTACAGTCTAACCCGCCTTGTTGTGGGTGAGGATTGAACCCCGGACAAGTCTCTGAGAGATGGCAAACAAATCCAGAGTAGGTCATTGCTAAGTTGTGTAGAAAGCCAACTAGTCTTGGGCCTGTATAGTTGCATCACTATATCTTAATTCTCAATATGAACCCATTATCAATCTCCTAATGGTAGATTGGTAGTTGACTAGTTACATTAAGCGAACTGGTAATTTAAATACTACGAAGTAGTATGTTTCCATGTTGGACACGAAGTCTTGGTTTCCTTCTCATACTAGAACTACAATTGTTATAAATACACCCTCGGACGGCCTTGATCTGAATAAATTTATAATCAAATCACTATCAACGTGACTATAAATTCTGATGGGAGAGGAAAAGAAGAAAAGGTCCGGTACCATGAATCAAATTGGAGTTGTGATTGTATGCATGGTTTCTTCAATACTGTTATGGATGATTTGTTCTGATTCAGGGATGATGGCATTTCCTTTGAAGCTCTTCGTAAGTTCTTATAACTCCGAGCACCTCGTCTTTTTGTACTCGGGATAATCAAGTTTGGCTGCTTTTTTGGTGTAACTTTTGTTGATTTTCCGTTTGGTGTAATTTTCCGAAGAGGGTTTGTTTCTATTTTTTGGCAATCAACCGAGATGATTGTCAATTTTTCATACACTTCTCCCTGTTTCCGTAGTTGATTCTCATCCCTGCTAGCTTTCTTAGCAACAAAACAAAACATAATAAAAATAAGGAAATTTTGACTTTTGCTACCTATCAAACACATCAATTTCAATTTTGCTACCTATCAAAACTTTAATTTTATTTTACTACCTAACATATGCCCTCTGTTTAAAATTTGCTACCAGTAGCTAACTTCTTTTACTGTTGACGTTAAGGGGCCCACTCCAACGGCTATTTCCCCTTCCCCTTCTATTTAGTTGAATTGTACCAACCTAATTGCTCCAAACTTCATTATCTTTACAGCGATTTGTTGAGGGATTAATAATTAAACTAGCATAGTGCCCATGCGATGCATGATTTATAAATCAACTTATTATTTTTTTGGAAAAAGCATTATTAATCCAGTATAGGGATGGCAGTGGGTCGGGTTAAATGGGAGACCCACCCCATTCCCATCCAAGTGGGGCGGGGATGGAGGGAGGTTTGGTGGGTGATGGGGCGGGGATGGGTATAAAATGTGTACCCGCCATGGGTGATGGGGCGGGTATGGATTTTAGAGTAGACCCGCCCCATATCCTCCCTGCCCCGTACCCACCTTATACCCGCACCATATTTCTTTTAGAAGAGTTGAGAATTTATGAAACTTGAAGCCCCTTAAGACCCAATAAGCTTGAATAGTAAAAGTCCCAATTTTCTTAACCTAATTTGATATAATCGTCATTAATATGATACATTAGAGCATCATGACAAAAGGTTTGGGACGATTTTGGAGCGGGTATGAGGTGGGTATGAATATCCAAGTGGGTGATGGAGCGGGGATGAATCCTATCTTGTACCCGGTGGGGCGGGTATGGATGTGGATATTATAGTCGCCACGGGTGGTGGGGCGGGGATGGGTATAAGATTTTTAGGCGGGTATGGGTATGGAGGTACCATCATCCGCATCCGACCCGCCCCATTGCCATCCCTAATCCAGTAGGAGGAAAAAAAAACACTAATATAATTCAAAAAGTAATAAAGGGTTCATTTTCACTAACAAATTAATTATGTCATTTGGATTTATTTTATTTATTTCCTTTTTTATATATATACTTTATTTGTTTATTTGAAAAATAAATGAATAATAATCCACATAACTATAAGAGATATAGACTAAATGAGTAAATTTTTCCTACCTCCCGTACATAAAAACTAAAGTTTTCTTACCATACTATTCCCTTCAGCAGCTATACAATCGAATATTTGATTTACTCGTCGTATTTACTAAAATTTTAGACTCAATAATAACTTACCTTATAATTGACCCACCACTATATATATTTTTCCTAAGCAAAACATTGTGTCAAAAACAATTACAGAGTACATAATACCCATACAACCAATCAACAACTTATAGAATACAACACAAATATATAGATACGGATATTGGTTAATTTTCATACGAATGAAAGATATTTATTAAGATTTTTAAGAATAAAAGACAAATTTCATCAACTACCTGTAGGCGTCGCTCGAAGTGCGCCTACGTTAAAGCATGTTGTGAATATGCTTGGCACTCATAGGAAGTGGGAATTAACATATACGATTAGGGACAAGGAAAGTAGGGAGCCGCCAACAAGTTTTTAAGGAACTTGTAAACCGTTCACGGATCATAAAAAGGCAACCACGATAAAGGGACAACGAAGGCAACAACGATTGACCCGTGAAGGTTACACCCCATTCATAATCCATGAGATTACTAACTCCATATGGTTCGGAACCACGAAAGGAGGATCGGGGATGATGGTACGAAGTGAGTCATGGAGTCACATTCGCCCGTATTGGCCTCTACTCGATTCTTATAGTGAAAAGTGATTCCTGCGATCTCAAAGGCATACAAACAAAATATTCAATTTGCTCCAAACTATCATTAAGCTAAATTGGTTTAATATTAATGCAACACATAGTTCTAAAATATTGTGATCACTTGAATTAACAACAAGATTAAAAAGGAACCTAAGCCGGTTGTCCAAATTATCTTATTAGGCGTGATTTCCAATTACTTATTCCCTTTAAACATGCAATATAGTGATCAATAAATAATAATAGAATAAACATTAATATTGGAAGCAATTTAACAATAATAGTGTTATTCAAATCAAATATAAAATAACCTAAATCATGATACTAGCAATATTAAAATAAAATAAGAGTAATTAAATTAATTAATTACTCACATTCCGCGCGTTCCTTTAAATTGCTACATCATGAATAAATTGTTAGTAATTTCAATAAAAAATATAAATCAAATAGAAATTAAATTAAAGTAGAGTTGATTTGGTCCAAACCCTCAGTCAATTATACCTTTCACGCCTTGGTTTAAGTATAGAACTTTGGGTATTGTATGAACTCAGCTCCTTGGAGTGCTTAATTAGGGGAAGTATTTTGAGAAAATAGGATGGCTTGTATTTAGACTAAAGAGGGAGAAGAGAATTATTTTATGATCAAGCTTGTTTATTCTTGAAAAAGGGGTGATATGACCTCTATTTATAGAGAAAAAAGAAGGGTCGAAAAAAAAAAGATAAGATCCGAATTAAATCGGAATAAAACTCGATAGACAGCATTTTTACGGTTTTTATTTTTATCATATCTTTTGATCCAGAAATCAAAATAAGATGAATAAGATATCGTTGGAAAGCTCTTGAAGTCTAATTTCTAACCCAATTAGAATAAAATTAAAATATTCTGTAGAATAAAAGATATGGTCGAAATAGTGAGACGGTGTTAGTTTTGGATAGAGTTTGACATTTTATTCATATCTTTTCCGTTATAGCTCGGAAATGATATTATAATATATCATTGGAAAGATAATTTCAAGGGCTATCCAACCATATAAAATTTGAATAAAACTATGAGTCACGAAAATAATATCTGCCTATCTTTGAACGTCTTTCAATTCGGATATAAATAGGATTTTCAAAAAGAAAAGTTTTATTCAATTTCAAACTCTTTAATCTTATCTTTTCAAAACGGATAATTAAGATCTTTTAGAAACTTATAGAAGCTTCCAATTAATCCTAATTGGTTTAGGAATGGGATTAAATAATTTGGACCCTCCACATGATCATTGGGTCATAGGTAAGGTGGGCTTAGGTTCGGTTTAGGCTCAGTTTAATATTTTGGTCATAACTTATTCGTTATAAATCGGATTTGGGCTTAGGTTCGGTTTAGGCCCAGTTTAATATTTTGTTCATAACCCAAGTTGACTTTTGCTACCTATCAAACACATCAATTTCAATTTTGGTACCTATCAAAACTTTAATTTTATTTTACTACCTAACATATGCCCTCTGTTTAAAATTTGCTACCAGTAGCTAACTTCTGTTACTGTTGACGTTAAGGGGCCCACTCCAACAGCTATTTCCCTTTCCCCTTCTATTTAGTTGAATTGTACCAACCTAATTGCTCCAAAATTCATTATCTTTACAGCGATTTGTTGAGGGATTAATAATTAAATTCTGAAGCAAATTTTTTTTTTTTAAAGATTAAATTGGTGAGGGTTGTTGATCAGTAGTGGTTGCTGTGCTCTGAAATTTAAGGTTAGTAGCTTAAAATTTTCTAATTAATTAGTTTATGCAACACTTAGGGGAAGTTTGAATTGCGATTTATTTAAAAGTTTGTGCATGTGAATTGTTTTTGTTAGTGTTTGGGAATGATATTAAACCTTAATTTGATTTGGAAATGGTTTAATTGGTTGTTAATTGCATTTATGTTTCTGGAAATTAATTAGGGTTCATGTATTTTGAAATTAGGGGTTTTTAATTGTGAGTTGAATGGTTAAAATTCAGGTTTTATTTTGATTCAAAGCCTATGTATGATTGTAATTATTGATAAACCTGGTGTAATTGCAGGCTATAATGGCAATGGTTAGGTTTTCTCTCTCAAAACAGAGAAAATGTGACTGTGGAATTCCTGTGGGAAAGCTGACATCATGGACAAGAGAAAATCCTGGTAGGAAGTTCAAGCTTGCAAATTTTATGATCCTAAGACTGAAACAAGGGGATGCAAGTGCTTTGAGTGGGTTGATGAGGAAGATGGAACTGAGTGGCAAAGCAACGTAATCAATCAACTCCTTTTGGACAAAAAACTAATGAAGGGAGAGATCAACACACTGCAATCAGAACTTGAAAATTTAAAAGGCCAAAGGAGGTGTTTGCTAAATGAGAATGACAACCTGTCATTGAAGTGCAAAGCTCTAAGTTCTGATAGAAGGAA